AGAGGTCAACGCTTACATGAATTGCTTAAACAATCCCAATCCGCCTAATTAATACAGCATTCATCATTATGTCCCATCTGCTTGAAAGATCAAACCTCACAAAATGAACTTCATGTCACAAAATAAGTCTCATAGCTAGAAGCAGGTCTATATAATACATTGCCTCTCCCAAAAATCCACAAACCTCAGATCAAGCTTAAGTAACTACATAAGCTATTTTTTGGTTACCCTCTATATATGTCCAATCCTTCCCCTGACTTTACATCATGAAAAACAATACTCCGTAGTCCCATGAAAACAGCAAAATACTTTTTTCATATTGGAATGTCCCATGCAACATTTCTTTCTTTAAAAAATGCAACATACTCTATAAAGAGAGTACTGTACAATTGCCAAATCAGTCAATTAACTCAATTCAATAAATGTTTTGAGAAACCAAAATTGACAACGATAAATGCAGAAAAAAATAACAATCACGTGGATGAAGAGTTTCGTAAAGTACCGTGAAGATTACCGTAGGGTCCACTAAAACTCCAACCTAATTCATTATGATAATTGATTGAATAAAAACATGTACTAAATATGAGATAGAGAATTCTCTTCTGTCTAACCTTCCCTGTATTTGTCCTGGCAACCCTTAAATCTTAAAAAAAATGCCCAGGTAAATTCTTAATTTTATTACATTTTAAATATTTAAAGCCTTGATTAACTAAGTTTCCCAACAGGGAAAACATAAATCAGTCACACATATATCTCCTAAGTTCCCTCATCCAGGTAATCCTAATTTATTTCTGAATGTTCATTAAACAGAATATCAATTTCTTAGTTAAAAGCTAATTGTACATAAACTCATTATGGGTCGATGTATCCAGGTTATCCTAAATTATCCAGGCTCAACTCAGAATAAAAACATAACACACTAGGAACAAATAAACAAGAACATAATATATGCTTGACAATGTCCTTAGAGAGATCCAGACTTGAGTAGCACTTCATTACATTTGATCATGACTTCACAAGGCACCCAATGATAGCCTGAATGAAGATAGAGCACAGCCATGATGAATGAAAATATGTGTGGGATGATCGACATTTGAGAGATGGAATAAAGAGTGCAGCCCTTCTTGTAATTATTTGTAATGGACAAATGGTTGGGGATGGAGAAGGCATATGTCCCCCAACTGGAGGATATGGATGTAATTTGCATGAATCCTCTCAAGCATAATTGTCCACAGCATAAGTGAGTTCCCTACTCGGGCTTAAGGTTACTAACCCTTCGTACTACCAACCACTTTCACATGAAAAGAAACAACCAACCACTTACCTGCAGCACACTCAAAGTGGCTTGATGGGAGAAGTCACATTTGCCGAGAACTACCAACACTTTCTCATGAAAAGTAGCAATGTACTTCAATATATTTGGTCCTCTGATGCAAATTCCGATTCTTGGAAGTTGGAAATGTTAGTCATAGCATCATTACCACAATGCATCTCTGTCAAACCCAGTGAATTTTCCTAGATTCCAGCTACTCAACAAGAAGATGAATCCAGGTCAACTTGTGCAATGTACACACCATGGCTTGATAGCCAAAGAGAGAAGTGTCTTGTTCCTTAACAGAGACACAATACCCTGTTGCAGATCCTATGTTGAACTGCAACCCCAGCCCGGAGACCAGGAGGCATCCTTTAGCTACCACAAGATTTGTAAAACAACATCCCTATGACTAGTATCCACTAAGGACAAGAATAGACTTGCCTATTAAGACATATCGTCAAATATACACCTATATCTCCAAACTTGGCATCCTCTGCATGGAACTTCTATATGATATCATACCAAAGCTGTAACATGACCCTCTGCAATCCCAACCTTTGCGAAAAATGCAACATCATATTTCGTTAGGTGAACCAAAAATGCTCTTAATGGATCTAGTTAGCTCAATCCCCCGATAAATACCGAAAGAGTACCCTAAGCCCCTTCAGAAGACCGAAGTCATTGGTGCTCTGCATAAGGGGTAAGAGCACCATAAAGCCAATTGGTACCTATCATAGACTTGACTCATTTTATGGGATTGAATCCCAAATATTTCATCCAAAATCTCTTCAGCTAATAATTCCTGGTGTTGCAATCCCCTTTCATTCAACGCAGTAACCATGTCATCAAGATACAACACCAAAACAAGGTGTCCGAATAAAATAAAATAAAAAGAAGTATCATAGCATATATAACCAAAGGTCTCAGGTTTATAAGAAAACTTGTGGAAACCCAATTAAGAGAGTATGCTTGTAGCTAAAGAACAATATCCTCAAAATATGGACCCTCAAAGCCTCCTTAACCACAAAACCACACAGGATCTAACAATACTTCATAGCATGAGTGTCTAAACACTTGGCACCATGGGTACGCAGGAGCTGGGAGAATGATAGGCCAAGACAAATAAAATTCATGAGTAAATTATAGATAGCCAAAATACATACAAGGGACACAACAAGAACCATAGACCTAATTTTTCTTATGTTAAATTATTGGAGGGTATATTAAATAAAGATTGTATTTGGAGGACATCCAAGTAACTTGAGCACATACATCACGCACAAGGAGGCAAACATCAAGAGCATCTCCATCTTTTATTGAAACCAAAAAGAACTACATTTATAGAGAAGTTTTATATCAAGTACATAGAAAGTTGAAAACTTACAAAAGAAATATAAACCATAAGAACAGATAGGTGTACCTTCAAATTGTAGATACAAGATACAAGAATTCAATACCACCCATCAGTAACTAACTACAAAAAAGAATACCTGAAAATTCAGAGTTCTACTTGCGATGGACCAAGACAAGCAGGATCTTTATAAGAAGGCTGAAACCTAGTATCCAATAAACTTGTGGATTCCAAGGGATAGTTTGAAGGTAATGGTGGAGAAAACTCTTTTATTTTACAACTAAACTTTGGCTTAGATCTTACAGATCTCTTGTACTTCAACAAAAAGCGGTTGGTAGTCTCGTTGCACTTTTCACAAATTTCATGACATTCGTTGCCATTTCCATAACTCACTGAAACACTCATGGCTTCGGTATTCAAATGAGCAGAATCCATACAAGAGCCACAGTCAGGATTTTTAACAAAAACTGAAGGTCTTGGTGTGCCTTTTCCAATTCTGTGGTATTTTAAGAGATAGCGATGGGGCTCCTTACTAAATCTTTCCCCGTCAGTTTCTTGGCACTCTTTGCCATTTAAACTGTTCTCTGCATATGAACCAAAATTAAAAGCCTTCAATCCAGCAGAAGATATAGAAACGTGGTTATCAATTCTTTCACTTAGCTTACAGATAAAACGTTCACATTCTCTAACATGAGAACAAGCTCTACTACTGGCACGCCTTCTAGAATAGCACACCAGCGGTGCATCGAAAGCGGAATTCCTCATGCCACCCTTTCTAGAATAGCACACTAATGGTGCATCCAGAGCTGAATTCCTCATACCACACTGTCGACGCCTTCTTGAATAGCAAATTAATGGCACATCCAAACTGCTCGAATTCATCAAGCTAGTTTTCTTCCTGCCACGCCTTCTTGAATAGCATGTGATCGATGCATTTTCCCCACTATATGAACTCATCAAGCAAGCATATCTAGATGTCCTAGGGGAGCTATTAATCGCTCTGTGCAACATAAAAGCCAACTCCGCATCATCTACAACCTTCTTCTGAGGACTCCCTGCAGCCTTCCTACTAGCAACAACACTCAACACACCTTTAGCCAATTCAACAGCATTTTTTGCAACCACAGCTTTCCTGAGAGCAGTCTGGCTCGCCCTCGCTGCAGCAGCAACCTTTTTTTCCACCACTTCACTTGATAAATGAGGCACATTAGTTTCCCGAACGGAAACCCTAGATTCAGGTAAAGTAGCAGCCCGCTCACAAGACTCCCTGTTCTTTCTTTTGCTCTTTCTCTTCCTGGCCTTAATCGAATTAGCAACCGCATCAGGAACCCAACAATCAACACAAACGGAAAACCCTAACCCCGGACCATGCTTCGCAACACAGTCCTTGTGAATACTGTGCTGGCAATCACGACACTTGAAGCAATCATTTTCACCAATCGCAGACGTAAAACAGTATGTACAGAGCTCGGAGGATTTAACTCGCTTAGTGCATTTTTTACACAACAGAACTACGCGCCACATGCTCTCCAAAGGTTGAAGCCTCTCCCTAGGGTTCGTGTAATTAATCCGGACCCCGCAACTATGGCAATCGGATAAGTTGGGCAACTCTCTAGTCTTTTTCGCGAACCGATCGGAGGATGAGTCGGAGGATACAGTCGATTCCGGCGATGCAGTGACGAAGCTTTCTTTAGGGTTTGGATCCGTCAGCAGTCGCTTCCGAGGAGGACCTTCATTTCGATCTCCTTTCGTTTCATTTTCCATCACAGCAGATTTCTAGGGATTTTTGTATGAAAATTGATGTCTCCTTTCTGGATAGACTGGATTTGATCCTGTTTTCGATTTTAGGGCTTTAGGTTACACCAGTAAAAACCGTTACAATGATTCCCACTTCCATTCGTGTTGGGATCTTTCTTTCATTCTTTTGCAAATCTACCCCCTTATCTTTTCTAGTTTTACTTTTTCGACCACAACCTTTTAATTTCTACATAATTCGTCATTCAAAAGTTCATGTCCATGCTTTTCTACGAAACTTAAAAACATTTTTTTGGGGGATTTTAGTTGGTTTCCAATGAAGTTTTCATGGGAGTTTTGCTACAACAGTATACTCATCGATGGTGATCATATATATGATAATGACGATAATGATACAGCATTCAACTCATTGGTCAAGTTTGACGTTATCAAAAGTTTAGGGACTAAATTAAGCATTTTGAATAGTAAAGGTACTATTATTGTAAGTTACTCTCTCTCATCTCCTCTTCCAAATTGACTGTTGTCGCTCAGTCAATTTGTCTATAAAAATGAAATATCGCAGATCGAATCCTTCCTTTTGGCTTCCCAAGAACCACATTCACCGAGCAGCCATCCACTTCCCGTCAGCCTCAGCTCCGCCGCCTCCATCGAAGGTGCAAATCTCTAAGATCTTACCTTCGCAACCCGTTGAATTGATCTCATTCGTGTTATTAGCTATATCAATCTCCTTTTTAGTTAATCTTTCTATTCAAATTTATCATTTCTATTTGAAAATTTTTAACGAGTTCTGTTGATCTGATTACCGTAAGCAATGAGATTTGTTTTTTAGAGTAGCAAATGGCTGGAAGTATTGACATGATGTTACGAGACCTAAACCTGGAAAAAGTTGAATCATTACCGGAGGATTTTGATCCGACCACCGTTATCAAAGATCCTTTGCCTCCTATTGCTCGTGATTCTTCAGGTTTAAACGGCGGTCATCCAGTTAATGGCCAGGAAAAACCGAGGGAAATTGTTCTTGGAAGGAATGTGCATACTACTTGCCTTGAGGTAACAGAGCCTGATGCTGATGATGAGGTTACTGGAGAAAGGGAAGCTTATATGGCTAGTGTATTGGCTAGATATAGAAAATCCTTGCTTGAAAGGACCAAACATCATTTGGGTAAACACATCTTTTGCCTCTTTTTGTTCAATCTTCTGTTTATAATCTTGTTCATTATTCAATAAACCTAAACATCTATCGATATGTGGAAGTAGATGTTGGAAAAAAGTGAAAAAGCTTATTGAAACGATACTCAAGTAGCTTTTCGAAAAACTCAGTTTTTGTTTTCAATAAACTCAAATTTTGGCTAGCTAATGGCTTCCAAACATGGTGAAATGTTATGGTTGCTGCAAATGGTGGTTATGAATGCTCACTATTTTAAAACTACGAAACTTATCATTGGATGGAATGTTTGATGTCAAGCATTTACTTTCTGAAAATTGTATTCTCTAATACAGGCTATCCATATAATCTGGATTTCGATTATGGTGCGTTGTCTCAGTTGCAACATTTCTCCATTAACAACCTTGGGGACCCATTCATCGAGAGCAATTATGGTGTCCATTCCAGGCAGTTTGAGGTTGGTGTATTGGATTGGTTCGCTCGTTTATGGGAATTGGAAAAGAACGAATACTGGGGTTACATTACAAACTGTGGAACAGAAGGCAATCTTCATGGCATACTAGTCGGGTTCGTAGCTTTTTTTACTCATTTATCAGATATCTAGTATTCTACTACTCAGATACCCTAAAGAATTGATGTAAATCTACAGGAGAGAAGTCTTTCCTGAAGGGATTTTGTATGCTTCACATGAATCACATTATTCCATTTTCAAAGCAGCAAGGATGTACCGAATGGATTGTGAAAAGGTCAACACGCTCATCTCTGGGGAGATAGATTGTAAAGATTTTAAAGCTAAACTCTCTCTTCATAAGGATAAACCAGCAATCATCAACGTGAATATAGGTTCTCTCTCTTTTATCTTATTTATGTTTATGCAAATATTTATACATAACCTTAAACTTATTTGCAGGAACCACTGTGAAAGGAGCCGTTGATGATCTTGATCTGGTTATAAAGACCCTTGAAGAAACAGGATTCACACATGACCGATTCTATATCCATTGTGATGGGGCTTTGTTTGGTCTAATGATGCCTTTTGTTAAACTCGTAAGTCATTCATGTTCATAACGCGAAATACCCTCCCAATAATTCGCCACATTTTGTATGGAAAAATGCTTTCTGAACTACTTTCATGCCATATTGGCCTATGAATTTTGGCAAATAAGTTGGAAAACATTCTATGAATCTTATTATAACTTCACATGTGGATCATAGTTTATAAGGCAATATAGTGTGATTGGGATCTTTCATAGTTCATAAGACAATATTCTTGATATTGGGATCTTTCATAGTTCATGATGTGAGATTGTAACACAAGTTTGCTTTTTTATCAGGCACCGAAAGTTTCTTTCAAGAAACCCATTGGAAGTGTGAGCGTTTCAGGTCATAAATTCGTAGGTTGTCCAATGCCATGTGGTGTTCAAATAACACGATTGGAGCATATCAACGCTCTTTCAAGAAACGTAGAATATCTTGCTTCTAGAGATGCAACGATCATGGGAAGTCGTAATGGCCATGCTCCCTTATTCCTCTGGTACACCTTGAACCGAAAAGGGTACCGAGGGTTTCGAAAAGAGGTCCAGAAATGCCTCAGAAACGCGCACTACTTAAAGGGTCGTCTCACAAGTGCTGGGATCGGAGCTATGCTTAACGAACTCAGCAGCACAGTCGTTTTTGAGCGGCCTCAGGATGAGGAGTTCACGCGCAAATGGCAGCTTGCTTGCCAGGGGAACATTGCACATGTCGTGGTAATGCCGAATATAACCATCGAAAAACTCGACGATTTCGTGAACGAACTCATCGAGAAACGTGCGATTTGGTACGAAAGCGGGAAGCTTCAGTCGCCCCCTTGTGTTGCATCCGACTTAGGTAACTCGAACTGTCTATGTGCGATACACAAAGGGACAGCTCTAGAGTCGTGAAGAATGATCATGTGGTTCTTTTAGTTATGATATGTCGAAATCGTGTTAGTTGTCGTTCTGTGTCTTTGCAGTTATTTATGTTACACGATGGGAACCGAATTCGGAGTGTTGGCATTGTTATTGATATTTAATCGTAACGTTATAGTTACTATTGGTAATGGAATCGCACCCCGGACTCTTGTCCTTTTCTGGAAAAACTAGTACGGCATCCGTACGATGTTGCGGTCTGCATCTCGATTTAAAACCGAGAACATAAAATGTCAATCATGTTTTAGTTTTCTCTTTTTTATCCATCCAAATTCTAGTTGTATACCATACAATGTAGTTGTATGTAAATTTTTTGAATAGATGTAAACAAGAAAATGGCCCACCAGACTCCACCCTAAGCGAGGACATACGGGGATAGTTTGGTTTAATTTACCGACTCCTGGACCATATGTCTCAGTCGCAACCTCAAACGAATACCAACTTTTGTTAATCCAAAAACATGAAATCCAAAATTACTGATGTTTATGGTGACTTGTACCTATAGAGACATAATTTGTACATTTCTTTAGATTTGTCAAGTTATGGTCGATATGAAAGACTTTTATAATATATACCGTTTAAAACGTTTTATAATATAATATAGATGCATACGCATCTATGATATTTTATAATATTATTAAATTCAAAAATATTCAATAATGGATTTATTTGAAATTATTGACGAGAGAACTATAATGGTATAGTTTGTAACAAAAAAAGAAATACATTTTTAATGTATTTTAGTTAATCTACGATTATGTATTTTAATATGATAAATGTGTAAAATAAAAAACGAAAACATAAGGAATACAAAACAAATTAACTCGTATGTATTCATGATATTTAATAGTGTGATTAAATCCAAAAACATTCAATACTGGGCTAATTTTGAAGGTATTGACAAGACGATTATAATGGTATAATTTGTAAAAAAAAATGTATGTTGTTAATTCATTTTAGTTCATATATGATTAATTATGTGAACATAATAAATGTGTAAAATGAAAAATGAAAAAGTAAGAAATGTAAAATAAATTAAATAACTAATTATAAGGGATAAAGTGTAATTTAAAAACTAAAAAATGATTTGATTCTTAATAAAAGGTAGACCTAGGAGGTTGTGTGTAGCTTTAAAAGTTTGTACATTTAGCATAATAAATTGTATCTCTTAAAAATTTCAAAATAACTGAAACCCCCCTTTATAATATAGTAGTAGTCAGGTACCCACGTGATGTTGCAGTGTGATCTCGTTTTAAAGTCGAGAACTTATGACGTATCATTTTTGTCTCTCTTTTTTTTCCATGACGATGCTAGTTGTATATCTGTACAATATAGTTGAGTATAAATTTTGAATAGATGTAAGCAAGAATATCTGGTACAAATAGGTTTTTACCAAGTAAAATATACATGTATCCATTTTACATTTTTTATGTACAATGTGTGAGAGAATAAAAAACAGATTAGTGTTAAGGGTTGTGATCGGTAGTTGATGTTGTTATGGGATTCTTCCTCATAGTCATCACTACTTAGATAGCTTTCTTAGAAAGAAAAAAAAAAAACAGTTGTACAACAGTTAAAGGTAAGTTTACAATAGGCATGCAAGTTTAAATGACGCTCTTGACCCAAGCCTATTCGGCCGAGTCGTATACAGATTTAAGTTTCCCTTCTTTCTCCAACCCAACCAGATAATTCAGGCTCTTGGTTTTCCGTCAAAAGAATCGAATTTTTGAGCAGTTGAGTTTCTTCACAGTACCAATAAAAAATGCTTTGTACCAGTTTTTTTTTTTCAAACAATTAAGATAAATATCAACTCTTTCTTCAAGCAGGACTTTTACAATAGATGTCAATCTCTATAAACAAAAATTTGAATATATATATATATATATATGTGTGTGTGTGTATGTATATATATATATGTGTGTGTGTGTGTGTGTGTGTGTGTGTGCAACATTTAGGTAGAGCATTTTCAATATTCAACTCCTACAATAAGATCCACTGGTCTAACCATTTCAAAAATCAAGAGACAGAGGAAAGGTCAGCATACAAATTAAATATATTGGGTTTGTTTATTTGATTTAATTTTAATAAGATACAAAATAATAATCATGAACTCCTGCATGCTCAAAATTTGTGCACTGTTTTGTATGACAATAAAAGTTAAACAATCAAAATCATCCAAAAATATAAAGGAGGCAACACCATGCATCTTTATGATTTCCGTTTCACACTCCATAGGCCTACTTGTGAACCAGATTTTAAAGAAAACTATATACATGAAGGTCTCGTAATGCAGTACTGAGAATACTGTTTGTGACCCAGTTCAATCTTTTTTTTTTCTCACACACTTTTTCGAAAGCCAAGGGTTTTAGCCCGACTCCATACCAGATCCCACCCCCGAGTGGGATATACTGGGATGGTTTGGTTTGGTGGCCTCTAGACCATATGTCTCAATCGCAACGTTAAACGAATACTTATAGAGATATAATTTGTACATTTATTTAGATTGTTAAAGTTATGCTCGGGTCTTTGTTAATATATAAACGTGTAAGGCCTTTTTATAATATCATATAGATTCATATGTTTTTATGATATTTCATATATTATTAAGTCCAAAAATATTCAATAATAAGCTTACTTTGAAAGTATTGACGAGATGATTATAATGATATAATTTGTAACAAAAAAAATGCATTTTTAATGTATTTTAGTTAATCTATAATTATATATTTTAATATGATAAATGTGTAAAATGAAAAATAAAAATGTAAGGGATATAAAACAAATTAATTTGTATGTATTCATGATATTTAATAGTATGATTAAACCCAAAAGTAGTCAATATTGTGCTCATCTTGAAGTTATTGACGAGACGATTATAATGATATATTTTATAAAAAAAAAGTTTTTTGATGCATTTTAGTTCATATATGATTATTTTTGTTAATATAATTATGGTGTAAAATGAAAAATGAAAAAAAAATAAGAGATTTAAAACAAATTAAATAAATAACTATAAAGTATAAAATTTAAGTTCTAAAATTAATTCGTTATGTATTTATTTTATTTAATAATATGATTAAATTCAAAAATATTCAATATTAAACTCATTTTGAAGATATTGACAAAACGATTATAATGACATAATCCGTAAAAAAAAAGTAAAACGTATCTTTTAATGCATTTTAGTTCATATATGATTACTTTATGTTACTATGATTATAGTATAAAATGAAAAATCAAAAAGTAAGGACATAAAGTAAATTAAATAACTAATTATAAGAGTATAAAATATAATATAAAAATAATTTGATTTTTAATATATGAAAGACTTGAGAGGTTGTATAGCTTTAAAAATTTCAAGATAAGAACGAATAATATACCGTTATTATTGACAACGGAATCTCACTCGGACTCTTATCCATTTTTGGAAAAATATCGTGTTGTCGGGTGTATAAAAAACGTGGCAAATTGTGCCTACTTATCAAGAGGTTTCTATCAATGATTTGATAGCGACTTTTTTTTTAATATATAATATTTATATATGATAAATATTTATCTATTTTTTTTTATCTTCAGTTATTTATATTTTTCTTGGTTTTTTATACTGTGTTCTCGAAACTTTTGTAACGAAGGAAAGAAGAAAGAGGGAAATTTGAGGGGGAAAAAACTCGTGTTTTTGAGTATATTTGGGTCCAAACAGTTATACATAATGCAATATAACCAATACGGTAAAAGTTTATAAGTTCGATTTAAAACCTAAGTTCATATATTGCAAATGAGGGCCATAACGTCCAAAAACATATCTTACGATCACGGGGGAGACCTGATTTACATGGGTAGTGCAGAACACAAAAGCAGACTACGATTTCATGTTATACAGTTCTTACTAAAAAATCAATATCTAATGAGTTCAACCAACCATGATTTATAGTTCAGGCCCTCGATGATTATAGTTATACCCATTTGCTAGAAATTACATCATGTGGTCAATGACTAGTATCCGGCTCCAAGAGTTCGTACCAAATTGCCCCGATAACCCAATGTTTATTTACTAGCAAAAAGGAGTAACCTCTAAATCTTCCAAAATACCGGGTAAGATTTGAGTCCACCAAAACGATATTGTATGTAATAATTTACCCGGTAAGCACTAACCATGGTAAGAGTTCTCGCCATCACTTACCGAATAAGACTCTTGGTCCTTTCTTTTGCTCTTACCGGGTAAGATTCTTGGTCTTTACCATATTCTTCCGGTAAGATAATGTGACTTGATAAGCGCTTACCCAAGTAAGCATTTGGTGTAAACGGCCCCTTGTATTTATTTACATATCAAAAGAGAAAATAATGAAAACCAAGATATCATATTTGGTAAATATATTTGGATAATCATTTTTCATGGTGTTCAAAAAACCGTTAATACCGTTCAAACTTGTCGAACCAAGTACAACCGGACCGCTTTTTACGGTTTAAGCGGTCTGGCGGTTTGATCCAGTCTGAAAAATAGCCAAACTGCTCGATCTGGTCTGATCTACGATTTGAATGTTCTTTTCAGCGGTTTGAACCGAACCGACCGTCAAAATACACATGAATCAATCATATTTTGTTTCCATTTTCTATGCTAAACTATTATGATCGAATTAGAAAAAGATGGTCCAAGACATTAAGTTTTTAGTTTTCACTATTCGATTGTCCTTGTCCCCCTACATCGGCAAAATTCCAAAATTCCAAAATTCGTCAAAAATTAAAATCTAAAATTTATAATCGTCTTTCGACTTGCTAAATGTTTGTGCGAAATTCCAACTATTATCGGTGCACTTGTTTAACTTTTTTTTTTCAATTTTCTCAATATTTTTTTAATTTTAAAGATAGATTTTTTTTTATAATTCGGTATAATATTTTTTTAATAATATTATGTTGATGGAAATTTCAACATGGAGATAGATTTTATGTTTTTTTTTGTTTAAAACCCATAATAGACAAAACCGTCTAAATAGGTTAGACCAAACCACCTTTTTATGGTCCGGCTTGACCGGTTTGGTTATTTGCTACCAAACCGTTTGGTTTGAGAAATTTTAAGATCGTCATTACGGTTTGGTTTGTGGTTTGGGGGGTTAAACCACCGAAATTGGACCGCAATCACCCTTAAGTCCCGAGTCTTGAAGATGTGGCAACGAAGAGTCGAGATGCCACTGCACCAATTCTCCAGCCACACAAATTTCGTGTATGGGTTTTAATCGGAGAAAGGGTGGAGTGGTTGGATCTTGAGCCATGTCATCGATCATGGTTATGGCCACAAGAACCAATCGTTCCCCTTCGATCACAAACCCATATGTTGCTTACAATTGCTTGAAGGAAACCTCTCAAAATCCAGATCTGTTGCATAAGATGCTTAAAGAAAAAACTATGCCAAGATGAAATCCAAGGATGGTTACCGCTACTTCTCGGTGTTTCGAGGACGGTGGAAGGGATGAGAACGGGGGGCGGGGGTTATCATAAACGAGTCTTTCGTATGTGTGTATATTTATAATAATATAGTAATATTTTTGCTTATTTTTCAACTGAAAAATGTAAAAATACCAAAAAAGACGAAAATATCCTTGAGTTAACAGACCTATTAACAGAACTTTATCTCAGGGACAAAAGCGAAACAAATGACAACCATAATGATCAAAACTCTAATTAGTTTAAAAAAAGGGACGAATATACTAGTGGTGGCAACCACAGGGACCAAAAGTGTAATTTACTCTATATTAAATGACTAATTTCATACATTTGTTCATGCATTCCTAAACACAACTACCAGGAAGGGGCTGTTTGAGAGTTGTTGAATGGTTTTGTATAGAAACATTAAGTGATCAGAATGATTAAGAGACTCTCATAATATAATGCAAAATGAAATATAATTGTTTGGTAATTGTTTACAATGAAATTATGGCTCTTAATGGTTAAAAAGAGGCCCATGATACAAAATCATTCAGAGGGTTTTATAACCATTAAGAGGCAGACTTTTTTTTTTTTCAAAAGAGATGTCTCTTAATGAAACTATTGAGAGATAAACAAACAACCCCTAAATGTCACTCAGTTGAAGTCTTGTACTTTCCTTCCTATCTCAAAACAAAACAAGACATAATCCACAATGAGCAACAAAAACAACCTTGCACCTCAAAATCAGGATAACCATTACTCTCTTCGATGGCGATCCCTTTCATCGTATCTTGCGCTGCTTTTTACACGATCTCGGTCTCGATCTTCCCCTTTACTCCTCGTATGCCCAACGTCATCTGCACGTATTTTTCTACGATACGACTCATCTCTGTCTCTGCCATCTCGTCGACCATCCTTATCACTAACTTTTCTCCCATCATTCTCATCTTCATGATGTCGTTTCCTACTGTACGACTCATCTCTACCATCTTGTCTCCTGTCATTGCTACGGCCTCTGTGTCTATCATCATTCCTACTTGTTCTATATTCCAACTCATCTCTCTTGTAATCTTTTCTTCCCCCCGATGTGTGGTGCCTATCATCTCGTCTATGCTCTTTTCGTCTGTCACTTTGTCCATCCGCCAAGTCTTTATGTCTGTAATCATCTTGCTTTGTTTCATCCGTGACTCGATGACTCAGTTTTCGTTGTTCCTGATGAGGATCCACCTCACGATGTCTTGGTGGCTTCTTTCTTTCTGGACTCACACGAGTGTCCTCGTCAAATACCATGTCATACCTATAAAATGCATTTTGTTAGAGAGCATCATGGAGACGACCACTCTAGCTTTCAGAGGTAAAGACCAAGACTTTGCATCTCACACCTCGTAACCCTCGCTATAACAAAATCAACCTTATAGAACGCCAAATATGTCTAAATGTCCTCCTAGGCTGCTTTATAGGACTTAAAGTTTGTAGGACCGAATAATTGTGCATCCTAAGTAAAAGTGTTAATAGTAAAGTTGATAAGACACTTTTGACATAAAAGCATCTTATTATCTTTTTATATGACATTATTTGAATAAATGTCTTATAAAAACAAGTGTCTTGTAATAAAATTTATTCAAAAGACATTTCTAAAAAAGTGTCCTAAAACAGTTAACAGGACACTTTTATTTCAAAAGTGTCCTAAAGAGCTTGTTAGGACGCCTAAAAGCTTTCTATCAACTTACTATAACACCTTTACATATGATGCACAATTGTTTGGTCCTATAAACTTAAGTCTCATAAAGCCGTCTATTAGGACATTTAGAAATATTTGGTGTCCTATAAAGCCAATTTTGTTGTAGTGCCTGCTTTCAAGCGGGATTTGTTAGGTTTGTTAGAGAAAGTATGGACTTTGCATCTGCACAATATATCCAGATTAACCAACCTTGAGCCATCATCTCCCCCTTTTCTTGAGAAACCATCATCCTTCAAGGTGTATTTTGGAGGTTGCTTGGCGGCATCAGGGCTCCCGGTACAGTCCTTTGCGATATGATCAAGAGAACCGCATTTGAAGCAACCTTTACCACCTACAAAAAAACAATAACGAATTCATTGAAAGAGAGCAACAAGATAGCTAAATACAACAACTAAAAGTGCTACCAACCATCTTTACCTTTTCCAGCTTGATTGCCTTTACGCCTGTATTGGTTCCATAATTTCGATACACTTTGACTGAAATCCACATGTATCCTCCGATCATCAATTAAAGCATTATCCATCTGCCATGAAAGATTGTAGGGAAGAAATTAGAGATGTAATCACCAGACGAAAATATTCATTACAAGAACCTAGTGCTAGTAGAGAAGCTAAACAATGGCAATCGTGCTACACTTCTTATACAATAGCAGTTTTATAGAATAAAATGCACTCATGCAGCCTAACTCATGGCAGTAGTTCAGTGGTTTAACAAACGACATTCCACTATCTTGTTTTCAGTCAGCGACAGCTCTGTTTGGTGTCAAATGTCTTACAGGAAAATGTTTATCGGCATTTGGGGTGCAAAAGTTTACCAAGAGATATTGGTAAAGCTTGATTTATGCTTAATCTCACTAAACTTATGCTAAACACACGTCTCAGACCCAAACATGCTCCAAAGCATTTATTCTCCATATAAATAACTCGTAAAAAGAACACAACGTGAAAAGGCTTGCGACAAAATTATGAAGGCTAATGGTAGTTGTATTTGAATTTAGATTACACAAGCGCTAAATTGTTCCCTTGTTTGGTACTTATGATAGGACAGTACTAAATCTTGTTCCACGTTTGGCAAGAGATTAAACTGGAACAGAAGAGGACCCGAGTAGGACAAAAATGAACTTTTTGTCCCACCAAAATAGGTGGAACAACGAAAGACAAGAAGATCGGTAAATTACTAAACTACCCATGTCAATTAAAACCCTAAAACATTCCACATTCCTTTCACAATCCTATGTGACTTTCCCCCATCCAGTCCGGTTCACATACCAAACCCACCCTTATGGAGGAGGCACTAGCTACCTGATCTTCGTAGAAAATAATGAAGTTTCAAAAGTACGTTGCCTTCAGAGAGCATCATATGATGTCAACATTCTCCTAGAGTCTGGTATGGATGATTCACACAGGCTTTTGGTCAATCTGGTAAATCTAGGAGGAAGGTTGTTCTAGTTGTGTGTGAAATTGTCACAAGAAGATCTAGTACTACTGTACTAGTGGCATAGCTGACCTAAAAATGCTTTCTTGTCAGAATACCTTCTCAACGTGAAGTGTATTCATCTCAAGAATATATACTTGCTTGCAAAAGAAATTATGTTGATCAATCCCTGTATGGGTTGCATGAGTGTAAACGTGTGGATTGGCCTATGATTCGAAATTGCATGTTGATGGCATAAAAGGAAAAACCTCTATCAGATCCCAATAAGTACAGAAGACTAGTATGAAAACTGAATTATATTACAATGACCAGAACAGACTTGTATGATCAGTTTCTGTAGTCGAGTTATTTAAGTGCGACTCCATGTACTGACCATTGGGATGTTGCTTCCCATATCTTGCATGATCTCCAAGATGCTCTAAAGAAAGGTATCTTATATACAGATCAAGAAAACAGCAGAATGAGAGCCTTCGCAGAGGAGGTACATAGCAAGAAATCAGGTTATCAATCAACATGTTGGGAGGTCAGTAAAACCCTGGAACTCCACAACCACCAGTTAACGTTTTGTTGTGTGCAGTTATATCTTTTCATTTGATAGTTCACACCACCAGTTACCATTTGTTGTGCGTGGTTATATCTTTTCAACAAGCAATAAACAAACTGTGGTCTCACGCCAATGTAGAGTGAGAATATCATGGCATTGCAGATGTCTCAAGTGAAATGATATGGCCATATGAATTCCATTATTTGTTCAAGGCAGTCTCATGTGATTTATATATTGTCTTCCTTCGACAATGACACACCTTTTAAGCCTAAACATTACAGCAACCATAGTCCGACCTTTTTCTAAGTACATGCCTTTGCAATGCATTACAAGTAAAACTACACACATGGCCAGTATAGTGAAGTCGTAACAAAAACCAGACATGTAAATCACCTTTCATTTGTCACCACAATAGAAACTTCCTTATTAGACACAAGACATGCAATCAAAAGAGAGGATGCAAACATGAAATAGGAAATTGCATGTGTACCTTGAAGTATGCTTGCTCACAAGATTCTTTGTCATCAAACTCTGGTATAAAATTGAGAATATCAGGTTACACCATGATAGCATTGATCACACAAACACATAACAAATTTAGAGATCAATTAGGACACAAGTACACATGTTCTTTAAACACCGATGGTGAAAATCGCTGCTAGAATCAACCATGTTGATTTAAAATCTTTGCTTTAACTTCTAATCTTATTGTTGAATCTAACCGGATTATAGTTTCTGCAAGCTTAAACTAATAACATGAGTTGGCAATTTGACATGGTATTAGAGCTTAGGTTTTGCAATAAATTATTTCGATCATCATTGTCCAAACGAAAATCATTGACGCAATATACAAGAGACATAAAATATAGATTATAAACCAAAGCATAAAGACTCACCTATAAAGGCATAGCACAGGCTGTCTCCAGTTTTGTAGTCACGTATTATTTCAGCTCTGCCAAAGTTCATAGATTATACGAGTTATTCTTCCAATAGCAACTACCAATCGAAGATGGAACTATTCAAATGAAATAGGTTCCAGGCATTTAGTAACTTACGACGAAACAGTTCCAAACCGTGAAAAGATTGTATGCAGATCCTCATCCTACGGTCAACAGAAAGGAGGGGGATTACCAAAAGAAGACGATAATAGATAGAGAATCAATAAAGAAAGCATAGCCCTATCAAGTATAGCCTTATTACACTAAATAATAAACGTAACAACTTACTTCAGTAACTGGATTTAGTTTGCATACAAAGAGCACGTTATCAGGAGGCTTTATCTCAGCGTCCGGAATGTCCCCTATCTGGAATGCAAAAGAAATCAAGTACGAATGTCTTAGCAAGCCAATAAACATGAAAATTACAACCTCCATCCCAAATTAAACGGGCTATTTCTCATTTCAATTTAGAAAGAAAAAGTCACATTTCCTTCACCAACAAGTATATTAGCAATAACCATTGAAGTCACGTATGCATACACTTTCAAGCACGACTGCTCTGGAATGTGCTTCCTTCGCACGAATAACCTCTTCAAGTTCCCCTGCACCTAACTGCTCATCCATGGGCACCCAATCATCTTCAAGGCGCACCTCATCATCAACCTAAGAGTGAACATGTCAACCCAAAAACATATCAAACTTACAACCTTTTACGGTTAAAAGAAAGGCATCAGTAGTTTTTAATGAGCAATCAGGTCATTATGAACACTCTCCACACAGCGGCACGAAATGACAACAGAAACTATATGCATAACAGTTTCAAAAATATTCAAATGATTTGCTTTTTACCCGAGTAGGAGGGTCGAGGTCCTACGAGGTGCCGACTGCTCGGAGTCCCCCACGTAAAACATGTGAAATCCCTATTCTTCCTTTAACAGGATATCATAATCATAATATTTAATTGGGTGAAGAATTGGCATGCATGAGCTAGTGTCTCTTGAAAGAATTCCCAGCTTTTAGATCAAAAACAACCAAAAAATCTGTTTTCGGTTATATACAATAAATGTTCTGGTCTTCTTTTTAGAAACTAAAATGACCATAATCTGATGCAAACTTGCAAATTGCTCTGTGGTTCATGCAAATTAGACAAATTGGAGCAACCTCTTTTGGCTAGCTCATAGTAATGCCATATCAGCATACTTCAAAAGGGATATAGCTTCTTAGTACAAGACCCAAAATGAGTATGTCCATTGTTACCTCATTCTTTGGTTTTCCTTCGGGGGAAGCATCTGGAACTAGCTCAGTTAGCTGTGCAGGATCCTCAAAAGGATCATCTAATATATAAGTGTGCTTTATGCTGTAAGAAAAACATTAGTTTTGCAAGTTAGTAGACGTACGAAATACCCGTATGAGGAGTGAAGTCCACTGAGAATATTTCATATGAGATGAAAGGGTGGAGAGAGGTCATGAACCGGATGTTTTTATATGGTCTGCTCTTCTCATCTACATAAGCTTCATTTATCCTGCTGAGAGTTTCAAGTCCTTCAGCCACCTCGCCGAAGACCTACAATAGTTAATAATATATAGCAACATAAACGATTACCATCTCAAATTAGATTGGAACCTATAAGTATATCATTACAACCTCCTATGCCAAAATATAGAAAACCATTCATTCAAAGTAACTATGGATCAAAAAGACAATGGAGCAGACTGTAGCAAAAAGCAACCAATAGTTCACAGCTAAATTAAGAGAAACATGCATGAGAAGTCAATTAATCAAGAAAATTAAAGATATATCATAAACCACAAAACTCACAGTGTGCTTCCCGTCTAGGTAGTCAAGATCATCACGTAGCGTAATATAAAACTGGAAAGACAAAAAAAAGTAACAGTGAGAATACAGATTGGTTGAGTGAAAAAAAATCCAGAGTTCACATCATATTTTCAGATTCAAAATCGAATTAATATGTTAAAGCTAGAAGGAAAAACATTACCAGATTCTTATTAAAAAAAAACCTAGAAGCAAGTTTCATACCATATGAACGTGAACTAATTTTTATAAAAAATTAAAGTTTTCTTCACAATACCAGAATAGGACTAATTGTTAAACTGATAGACTAAGTTCTTTTATTCCACCAAAAGTACAAAAAACGATGGTGAAGGTACCTGAGATGCATTGAGATTCTCTCCTGCACTAGCCATGGCAACCGTACCCATCTTCGAATGCTTTAGATCCAAACGAATCTCGTCACCAAAAAAGCGAGCTTGATCGCCATATAAGAATCTGAAAAGATGAGGCTATCAAATGCTAATTTGCAGAAGCATTGTGATTGTTTGACTAATGAAATAGTTTCCAAATATTAGCTAAAACATCAATAAGTTTTTTGTCTTCTATAAGGCTTATATTTGAGCCACTCCAAGCTTTGACTATTCGGTCTATTAAACACAATCTCAAAGGCTAACCATGGGAAAGGTGACCAAATTCCCACTCAATCTTACATTTACCCGCAAGCTTTTTCATGAGCCAAAACAGGTCGAATTCAAGCATAGCCTCATTAGTACAAATAAACATGAACAAGCTGAAAAATTCAGATTTTAGTATGTCATTATCATTAGTTTTTCTTTACGAATGTTTATATCAGATATAGATGTGTACTATCAATTGTGATGTAATTATAGAAGTACACACATCAAACATTTATCTATATTTTAAACATACATGTGTTAGCATGATTGTGTTAGAATGTTCGTATAATCATATAGCATATGGATTGTATATACATCTCAGAGTCAAGCAATGATGAGAAGATTGACTAAGGCATTTGCTTTACGAAACATACACTGATACAATCGCGATAAATTGGGTCAAGCTTTATTGAACTCAAGCAAACTAGTGATCCAATCGCCTCGTGCTTGGATGAATGATTTTGAGCTCAAATTTAAATTCTAGGCAATTAATTTTCTTTAGCTTGAGCATAGCACAGGATATCAGAACTTCGGCAAGCTCGATAATACAGCACTAGTCATATGTGTGGTAAAAAACATAACTAACCCTTGTTTTAAAAGAGTTACATCAAATTGTTTATAAAAAGATATAATTGTCATCCTATTTGTTTAACAACTTAACTCTTTTTTCCCAAGTTTAATTATACTACAAATTTACAAAGCTTGTATTTTATAACTACAGAAGTTACAGGAAATATATTTTATCCTTTTGAGTTAATGTTGTTCACATAAAGATAATTTAAATGTAACACAAAATTCAATCTCACCATAATTATATAGATTGATGCGACTTTCAATTAAATTTGTGAAAGGACAAGGAGTGTTAAGGTCTATCTTGCCACCAACATCACTGTTCATGTAAATGAATTCTTTTTACTTGATGAATCCCCTTAATATCTATAATATATATGCACCCAACCCACCTAAAAAAATATTAGAGCCTAGGGACCTGCAGGTTCATCTCATACGACCATACCTTCAAACTTTGTACTTCCTTTGTCATCAACCTTTGATATTTGTAGCAGTAGTTCTTCACATCTCTTATGTTATAGACTCAGATTCGTTATGACTTTTTTTCACTTCCATTTCTACACATTTATACAAGTTATATTTGTACATTACATGGAAACTAGTATTGTTTTAGTTTTAAACCTTTTTGACTTTCCGCTGCTCAAGAACCTCGTATAAGCACAACACATATTAACCATCAATACAACTGCATTTTGAATCTACTATGATTTCCGTAAGTTCATTTTCCTTCCTTCCAACATGCAAAACCATTATAAAGTAATTTACTATATGCATTTACTCGTCTACTACACCCGTTGGACCTCTAAGTTATTCAATAATAATCCAATTTAATGTCTCTTAATATTCACTCACGCACCCATTGCCAAATACCAAATGTTTGGTGGCAGTGCCAGCAATAAGTTTGAAAAACAAAATAAGAGGTGTATATGATTTCTTCTCTTACTTGTAGATAGAATCACCGCCGGAACCTGTTCCAGTAGGATCACCTGTCTGTGCAGTAAAATCTTTCTGAATCGTGTGAAATAGACATCCATTGTAATATTTAATCCTGCATCAACCCACGACAAAGACGTTAAGTCACAGGTTGATCTCTATTGGATTTGGGGCTTCTCGCTATGCTACTTCACTAAAAATCCTTTCTTTAGCATACATATAAATAGAAAGATAGATCCATCCATCTTTAACACCTAATACAGCTGAACACATTTATCATGATAAATTAGTTTTTATTGCCATCACGCATAACTTCTTGATGTGGGCACCTTCCAAGTGGAAGATTGTTAATGTTACTGCATAGCAAACCAAACCGAACCAAACAAGTGCAGTATATCCCATCACCAGAGGTGGAGTCTGGGGGTGGGATGTAAGTAGACCTAAGCTCTACCCGAAGTAGTAGAGCGAGTGTTCCCTTGAAGACACCAATTTATGAAAAGTGTGTGAAATAATTTCTCAAAAGAAGGCTTGAAAAAGAACTTGACACATAAAAACTGAGTTAGAAGTAAGCAACAACATACAAACAGAATAGAAACTAGAAAACACAACCAAGGTAAAGAAACACCCTAATCTAACTTAGGGTCTGGTAACCTAACAACCAGTTCAATAACCCTCCCCCCCCCCTCCTACCTCTCTAGCTCTTGTTTATGTTAACTACAATCCTCACCCCTAATTTGCTACCCGAGTTTATGTCTAACCCCTATTAAAGGTCGTGTCCTCAAAAATGCCTAAAGCCGCCATGGCTAACCTCGGATGCTCATACCATGTCCTCCTCACCCCTTGACAGCCACCCACTTTCTATCCTCCTCATCAGAGACACAAACTAGAATATGGTGTTTGTGAGAAGCCATGAAGAACTTGGGTTATCCGTCAAAAGTGAGCATTGTGCAGAAGCACTTGAAGAGAATGGCAGTTATGAACTACTATATGCACATAATATACATGTTAAGGGCCATCATTGGGTGAGTCATGAAGTAGTCTAAAGATGCACTTAATTTTACATCCAATTGGCTATGAAAAACAGAAGAAACCAACAAATGGTAGTGTAAGCAGAAAACATAACCCAGTTTCTTAAGCTGTGTTCTCAAATTTGGGAGAAAAAGAGAAGAAAGGAACTGAAGGAAAGGAAAGGAAATTTTTATTTGTGTTCTTGAAAGGGAAGGAAAGGGAAGAAAAGAGAATAATTTTTCATGTTCTTGAACAGGGTAGAAATGAAAGTAAAGATGTCATTTTTACATACAAAAACCCTTTGTTTTGTCCAACAGTTAGTAATTGATGGGTATATATGTAATTTTACTGACATTTTTAAGGGTTATCTTTCTTTCATTCCTTCCCACATTTGGGAGGAAGGTTTTGGTAGGAAACTTATCATTTATTTTCCTTCCGATTCCTTTCCTTTCTCTCCTAAAAGATTTTAAGAACACGAGTTCGTTTTATTTTCCTCCCCTTTCCCTCCCTTCCTTCCTTTCTTTCGTAAATAAGGTTTCGAGAACATAGCGTTAAGTTCTAGTTCTGTCTTCTGTGTATATGGTATTTCTATATATGTACAAGATTCATATATGCACAATTTAGAGGAGCAATCTTGGGTGTAAATATAACCTGTCAAGTATATTTTGAATTTACTTTCAGCCACACAAGATCCTTTGTGCAACTTGTGGCAAGAAATGAATAAAGGAAACCATTGGTAAGACAAAAAATAGTGGAATCAAGTAATATTGGACAAGAAAAGCGAGAGAAAAAAAAGCAACAATAATAAAGTTAAAACAAGAATAAGGGTTTTACTTGCAGAGTTTCAAGAAATTCTTGCAGGTCAGAGGGCAACGATCTGTATACAAATCAAGAACGATGTCGCCCAAACTTGTGACGATCAGAACTGACATTTCCCCTCCTTAAATTTGATTTTCTTGGTAAGCAGGCAAAGATCTGTATGCAAATACTCCTTGTTAACAAAGTAACAACTCATGCAACCTGACATCAACTGCAAACATAATGCATGTATCTTACAACATTGTTAAGGGATATATAGTTCTTATGTAATTTTGGTGCAAGTTTAAAAAAAGTCTCACAAACCATCTGACAAGGAGTGGCATTTTCATCTCTTCTTGGAACCTAACGTATGCTTGCCAAGCTAGAAAAAAAAGAGCATTTGATGTGTCTCTACAATACTTCTTATTTTGAAAGAATCCATCACCTTCTTTTATTGAGTTATTGTTTTTATTAAAAAAAACAAAGGTGAATAGATCACAGAACCCTTACTGATACAAGAAAAGATTGGGTACATGTTGTCATTTGTTTGTGGCATCATTGATTAAGGAACCAAGGAAGAAATTCACGATACTAGAAATATCTATGTTGACAGTTGAAATTTCATGTATTTATGGTTGGGAAGTAAAACCTACAGGTATGGCGAATTGGTAAGGTATAATTTGGTCTGTTCTGGGGCATATTTAAAGCCACACAATGTACTAAAAAAGTTGAATCTTATTCTTCTTCATTGTAAATGTTCTGGGACACATGCAAAACCTATTATATGGATTTATAGGTCAACCATCATGGTTGAAAAGGAACGGAAGCCTCTTAATTATGTGTGATAGCTTGTATTGGATAACAGGAAAAGCAATGTGAACTGGGAAATAGAAGGAAAAAGAAGCTAGAGCAAAGGGTGAAGAAATCTAAGCATGATAATTTTGTTATCAAGAAGCCAGAACAGCTTATCAGCAAAATACCATGATAAAGTGAACATTTACATAGCAAAGTAGTACATGTACATGTGCTTCAAATACTGATTTTCCTTCCTTTTTTATATGATTAATGGACTAACACGGTAACACTTGATAATTTCAGTTAAGTAACATTCTGTTGATGCTTTCCCTGCACCAAGTTTTCCCAGTTTTAATAAAACTAACAGAGATTTTATCCACTAGCCCGATCTCATCAAAGTGAAACATTGGGGAATGCAGCTATGAAACCAATAAAAGCATCCATGTTCCGCCAATCAAACCTACTTTTCATCTTACATATCCAGTGTCTGTCACCAATGATAATTTGTGTTCTTTGGCAATGGTTCAAGTATAATTTAAGTCCTTGTGTTTTGTTTGTAGCTGCACATATTCTCCTGTTTTCTTTCAGAAAAAGTGGCATGCATCCACAAACTCTTATACTCTTTTAAGACGGAAGAGAGTGTTCAATGGTTCTCTTGTCAAGGCAAATGACAGAATATTGGAAATTTTACAGAAAGTGGAGTCATATCTGACCCAAGGATAGTAAGGGTGCAGAGCATTTCTTAACTATTCTAACTTGATCAATTTCTTTTAAGATCATATACAATGTTTTCATTGCCTTTCAAGTTCTTGACGTTTTCACTTCCCTGAACAACTCTAACTTGATGTGCATAAATGTTAAGGAAGTCATAAAGATTCGGGTCAGATTTTCAAGTGCACGTAAAAATTAAACAACATGCAAAGTACTATCAATTCTCTTGATCTCTGCATAAATCTCCAGGCTTGATGAATAAATAAAAGAAGATGAAACTCGAACAGTACACTAACTAAACAGATAATATATGGGCATCATGAAATTAGTAAACAAGCACAAATCAGTATAATCATCGTCTCCCTTGTTCTTGTCATTTGGGCATTAGGGTTTCAAAATTTGCAATCTAATTGAAGGGCAACAGCACAGATTGAAGCTCGGAAAGATAGAAAAAACTTACCATAAGCAATCGAGAAGTTGAAGGTGAAGCCTAACGAGAAGAAGCGATGAATTGCGACAAGGGAGAGTCGGGGAGAAAGGAAGTTGGATTGAAGGTTCACAGACGGGGCAAAATCAGCCCAAATCTTCTAAAAATGGGCCCAATTTTTTAAAATTTGTTGGTGATGCTCTTTTGTGCGTTATTTTAAAGATAAAAGAAAAAGAAATTTCGGGGTTGTTTATCAAATACTTATCGGTAAAATTTAACATTATTATTTATTTACCGGAAAATATTTTAGTCAACCAAAACGACATCGTATACAACAATTTACCCGGTAAGTACTTACCGTGGTAAGAGTCGTCGCCCTCACTTACCAGGTAAGACTTTTGGTCCTTGTCTCACTCTTATCAGTTATCAGGTAAGATTCTTGGTCCTTACCATATTCATCCGGTAAGGTAATGTTACTTAGTAAGCGTTTACTCGGGTAAGTGGTTAGGTAGCGTTTGGTACGCAGACCGGATGGGACGGGACAGGACGGGACAGGACAAGGCTAATTGTCTGTCCTACGTTTGGTACGACTAGAACAAGACTGGACTAATTGTCTGTCATGCGTTTGGTAAGCTGGACAGGACGGGACAAAACTATTAAAATGACCAGATTGCCCCTAAATGTTGTTTAATGTTATTATTGATCAAATAATAAAGYTGATGCCAATAAAATCTCACATGAACATCACCATCATAATATGCAAATGCTAAAATCTACAGCAATGGTGCTTTTCTACTCACATGAACAAAACACTAATATGCAAATGCAAAATGCTAAAATCTCACATGAACATCACCATCATAATATGCAAATGCAAAATGCTAAAATCTCACATGAACATCACCATCATAATATGCAAATGCTAAAATCTCACATGAACATCACCAATCGATTCGAAAACTGATTTCGAGTTCGTGGAATCGAGTTCGTGAAATCGATTTGGTGGAAGCTGGAGTTCGTGAAATCGACAACCATGGAAAGTATGGAGAAATCGATTTGGTGGGAGCTGGAGTTCGTGAAATCGATTTGGTGGAAGCTGGAGTTCGTGAAATTGACAACCATGGAAAGTATGAAGAAATCGATTTGGTGGAAGCGGGAGTTCGTGGAATCGAGTTCGTGAAATCGATTTGGTGTAGGAAATTATGGAGAAATCGACAATCATGGAAGATAGAGAAGAAATTTTACCCGAATCTGGAATCAAGTTTGAGCTCGTGGAAATCGGAGTGTGGAATCGATTTGGAGTTCATGGAAGATGGAGGCCATAATCAAGCTGCAAGATGAAGAAAGATAGGAGGCGATGGAGTTTATAATTAGGTTTTGTACCTGATGTGATTTAATAAAGGTAAAATTGTAATCTGAAGGTTTAGTCCCATGTTGTTCCACCTTTTTTGGTGGAACAAAAAAACTCAAAAATAGTCCCATGAAAACTCATTTTTGTCCAATGTTGTCCAACCTTATTTTTGTCCCATGGCATGCCAAACATGGCACTATTTATTTTTGTCCCGTCCCGTCCCACCCAGTCTGCGTACCAAACGCACCCTTAGTAAACGGCCCCTCACTTTGCTACCATTAGCGATCGATTACTAGTGTAGAATATTGGACATATCAACTTTGAATAGGTTTTATTGTTCTCTTATATTAGTAAGGGAATCGCTTATAGACAGTGGTGCTCATTTTGAATAGCCTCACTTTGACTTTATGATCGAACTTTAAAAACCAAACTATAACATCCAGTACAGTTGCTAATGAATGGAATTCAGCCTCTTCATTTATGTTAGTCCTTTAACCACGAAATCCGACAGTATCCAATCAATTATACCAAACGGCCCATAGTCTTTGGTATCATTATTGTTCAAGTAACTTAGTTCGAGAACTGAAGTTGCACTTGAACTTGTGAAGACAACTCCATGTTATTTAGATGGCTAAACATGACTTTCATGTAATAGTTTGCAAATTTAGGGGGTGTTTGGTTCGATCAGATGAATGAAAATGACAGAGAATGAATTTTCATCCCCCCCCCCTCCCCTCCTCATTTAACCTGGAATCAAAATTTGGGCTTCTAGGGAATGAGTTCATTATATTATTTAAAATCAAACGGTTTCTTTTATTTTCATTCCTATTAATTACTGTCTAATACTTCTAACTAAACACCTCTTTAAAATTGAACCAGAAGAAAAAACAATTATTTTACATGGAATTTCGATATAAATTATACAAATTTCAAAGTTGGACGACTTATTTGGCCATTTTTACATTTTGGATTGCGTTTCTCACATGTGTTTGGGATTGTTTATAAAAACAATTTATTAACTTATAATAAGTTGACAAAGTGTTTTTATAGAAAATCATAAGTTATTTCACCGATCCCAAACACCCCATATTTTTTTTGATACACAAACAACTAATCATCATAAAATCAAAAAGAGGCTACAATGGAAATCTGAACACTTCAGTTAGATCCCATCAATAACAGCATCCCTCAGGTTTCCCCCCATCAACAACAGCAGACCGCCGTTGTGGACTCGCCCCTCTGGAACCACCACCTCCGACCCCTTCAAACCACCATTGCTACCTTCTTTCTGGTCGGAGCTTCGTTCCCCGGTAACTGATGAAAATGTCGATGACTTCATTGAAAAAGGGACCAGTACCTGAGGTGGAATCAGTTGCCGATTTCTCACCGGATTCTGTAGCCAATTGCCGGAATTCGAGACGACACTAGCACCCGACAACGAGTAATTGTCTAGTGAAGCAGAAACCGGACCCAAAACGACCCCATGGAAGAGTTGCGATCCGATTCCAAGAACACCCTTCTTGTTTCCTTCACTTTCTTGAACCATATTACCATGTGCTGCACATAAACCACCCCTTCCTCTAGCAAACTTCTTACATTTACCTTCTCCGCCCCAAATGCATCGCTTCCCGCCGCCGTGAGCCTTGCAGAAATCGGTGCTCCCTTGGGCGCTCTTGGTGCATTTATCAAATTTGCACCGTTTCCCTCCGCCGTGTTTCACACAGCAATTTGTCCGGCCACGGGCGCTCTTGGTACAACCTGCTACATCACATCTCTTTCCACCACCGTGAGCCACACAAAAGTTGGTTCCCCCATGCACGCTTTTCGGGCAAATCCCACCACCTTCATACAGGCACCGCCTTCCTCCGCCGTGGGCTTTACAAAGTGGAGTACTACCTTCAGCACCTTTACTACAACCGACAAACACACAACGTTTACCGCCACCGTGAGCTTTACAATACGTAGTGCTCCCCTGAGCTCCCTTGTCACACCCGTCGAACCTACACCGCCTACCGCCACCGTGAGATATGCACAAACCTACCTGTCTTTCCGCACTCCTGGTACATCCTTCCACCACACACCTCTTTCCACCACCATGTTTAATGCAGAGTCCCGACTTGCCCCTAGCGGCTTTGCTGCAGCCTGTGGGGTAGCTGCAGTGCCTCCCACCACCATGTGCTATGCAATGTTCCGTCTGACCGTCAGCACTTTTCATGCACCCAAGATGATGACACCGCCTCCCACCGCCATGAGCCTTGCAATAAGCAGCTCGACTTTGTGTTAAACAAACGTAAACAAACGAAAATCTTTGTGTTCGTGTTCGTTCGTTTAGAAATAAGGTGTGTTCGTGTTCGTTTATGTTCGTTCGTAAACATGCTAAACAAACGTAAACGAACGGGCTAAACGAACATAAATAAATATTATTGGAATTCAAAGTAAATAAATAAAAGATAATATATTAAACTTAATATATAAACGAACATAAACGAACGAATATAAACGAACATAAACGAACGGTATGAACAAGAGTCTTGTTCATGTTCGTTCGTTTAACTAAACGAACAAAAAAATAGTTCATTTTCGTTCATTTATTAAATAAACGAACTTCCCGCCGAACTGTTCACAAACGGTTCGCTGAACGTTCGGTTCGTTTACAGCCCTATCAGTACTATAAAAACCATATTTTTTATAATTATTTTTAGATGTATGTCATACTATATTAATTATATGGTGCGACCGTTTGCAAAATTTGGGTAATGATAAACCAATCTCAAACTTCAATCCCCACTAAAAATTCAAATGACAAGACTTCAAATTTCAAGAAAAAAGAATCAACAAAACACAGATGAAATGCGTTAATCAGTAAAACCTACGACAATTAACAGTCGAATCATATAAAAAGAACCACGTTCTTAATTCATCATCAGTAATGAAAAAAAAAGCCATGAATTTACATTTAAACACGAACAGGCTGAAGAATACCTCAAAAGGAAAAAATCCGACGAGTTATTTAGAAGATGAAGTCATAATCGAACGAATAACATCAAAGAAAAAGATGCAGAAATTTGAAGAAAATGAGTTTCAGGGAAGATGAAGTTCGTACAAGTGGAGTCATAAATAGGTACCCAAGGCCCATGGGAAGAATCTTTCCAGAAAATATTTCCTTGTGACCCCTATACTTTAATATACTATTCATTTAGTACCATGAAAAAGTATGCATTTGTTTGCCTATTATGTTTTCAGCTTACATGACATTGGTTGATTTTAATGTGACATTTTTCTACGTAAATCAAGAATTACAGTATGAATTGACAACTTTACATACATATCATTAATAGTTAGAAGATCTACTGGTTACTAGGTAAAATGGGTGCAAAATAGAAGCGAAAAAACAAATTAATCATTACACTAAATAAAAACTAAGGGGTCGTTTACTAAACACTTACCCGGTAAGTATTGATCATGTAACTTTTCTCACCTGATGCACATGGCAAGAGCCGAAAATCATACCCTGTAAGAGCGATGATAATGATAAAGAGTTTTATTTGATAAGTGATGGTAATAACTCTTACTTGGATAAGCGTTTACTGGATAAGTATTTGGGTAAAGGCTCCTAAGACAAACTCCATTGCATTTTAATATATTAGGCCCGTTTTTTATGTGATATTTAAATACCTATAATGTCTGTTAATAAAGACAGAAAGAAAGAATATAATAAATTCAAGTTAAAAAAAAAACCAAATTATTTATGACGATTGCAATAGGGATTATGTAATTTCAACTTGCAATCTCTTTTAATAAAAAAAAAATGGTAATCTTAACAGGACTTTTCGATGATATGGAGGGAAACACGTTAAGAGCTTAAATCATGTGAAAATGCAAAAGTAAAGGGCTAAATTGATCATTTTCAAATACTTAGGGGGCCAAAATTAGTACTTCCATTTCTCGATCAGATTCCTTGTAGGGTTGGGTGCATAACACACTAGGCTCAATGCATGGCTAAAATACCGAAAATGCCCATGACTTACAAATATCTCCAAGGAAATCTTGGACCATTATATGGTATTCAAGATTTTTGTCGATTGGATGCAATTTTCAAGGTGCATCAAAGTCTGTAAAATCGTCTGAAGTTTTTTTTTCCAAGGAATTTTTACGTTTTTTTTGTTAATTTTGAGAGAGATTAAAAGGGTGTTTGGGATTGCTTATTTGAAATAACTTATGTTTTTTTATAACAGTCTTTATCAACTTATTATAAGTTAGAATGATTTAACTTTTTTAAAAACTTTTTATTATCAGTTTGACATCGGTATAAACTGGTTATCCAAACACTTAAAAATGTTTATTACGGATGTCATGAGTATTTGTATTTGAGTTCTTTTATATGGTTTTCGACAAGAATAAAAAACGAGAATAAGATGAAATAGAAAGGGTGAAAGGAGAAGAATCACTATGCTTGCTTTTTAATGACAACGACGTTGCTTATTGTATGAAGCATTAAAAACATCCTGTGAAGGGGTAAAATGGTCTTTTAGTTAATTGATGGTGGCATGGTGGGTGATCCAGTGGAGTAGATGAATGGATGATGTGGCCACTTGGCTCCTCCCATGCGCTCCTTCACGCACGGTATGCGGCTACTCGGCTACGCAACAACCTCTTGCCTCCCTCCATGGGCCTTTCACATTAAAATAAAATTATTATATTTATTATTTATTTAACATTTTTTTGTATTTAATATTAATATATTGTCATCATAAAAAATTATAAAATAAAACTTGACTTAAATAAACAACAGATTGTATAAAGATGACGTAATTTTTTAATTCAAGTTTTATTTCGAAATATATATTTTAAAATGTGTATATAATAATTTATAGCTTGAAAAATACCTAATTTGATAGAAACCTTCTCTTGGAATTTTACTATTGAAATTGTTTATTTGTTTGGTAAATATATTATATGTTTGTATATCTATTATTAATTTGTGTGATTCTGTAACTAAAGTTTAAGGATCGTTTGGTTCGTAGAATTCGAAAGAATTGAAATGACAAATTATTTTGATCAAATTTCAATCTTTTTTTGTTCATTTCTTGAAATGGATAGAATCATTTAAATTTCATTGAATTCCACAAATAGATGGATTCATCATTCTTTGGCATAATGGAATGAATTGAATTTTATCACTATCCACTACGACCATGCTACTATTGTTTGTCATGCCCCACCCCTAACCCCCCACCACTATTGTCGCCACCACCCACCTATCCAACCACTAACCACCATGCCACTATTGTTGTTATCACACCCACCTCCCCCCGGTCACTCACTGCACATCCTTACTATGACCATGCTACTACCGTTATTGTCAGGTTCGTAACCTAAGCCCCACCGCCACACCATTATTGTGGATGTTACAACTGCCACTCACCCATCCCAACCTACTACTAACCACCATGCCACCACTGTCGTCGTCATACCCACCCACTCCCAGCCACCCGACCACTATACCACCACTGTCGTCGTCACAGCTAACATCCCATCCCCACCGCCTCGCCTCGCTGCTACACCCCGTCCCTAACCTAACCCCCACCCCTACACCACTATTGTCGTCTTCACAACCGCCACTCACCTGCACCCCACCCTACCCCAACCTACCACTAAACACAATTCTACTATTGTTGTTTTCATACCCAGTCATCGGACCACTATCCCACCACTACCATCGTCACAACTACCACCCTACCCAGCTCCATCGGGCACCCACCTCCGCCCCACCTTACCCTTCTCCAACCCACCGTTAACTATCATCCTACCACAGTAGTTGTTACAGCTACCACTCTGCCATCCACTGCCCCACTCTACCCCCCCCCCCCTCAACAACCTCTACCCATGGAGCAGGGGTGGGAAATGAGTGGTGGAGGCGGGGTCGGGGTGGTGGGGCAGGGTGATAACTGTGACGACGACAATAGTGACATGGTGGTTGGTAGGATGTGGGCAGGGTGATGGGTGCAATAGTCCAAACAAAGACGATTGTTCCAATTCTTTTGTGAGATTTCATTCCAATTCCTATCAACCAAACCCGTGGTCAAATTCCATTCCAATTCATTCAAAGTCAAATTCCTTTGATGGATTCCAATTCCACTTCTTTAGAGATTCACACCTAATAAATATTGACATAACATATTTTACCGACACTCTTTTTGTGCAAAACACAAGTCTAGCCAACAAAAAATTATCATAAGTAAGAGGTTTACTAACACATATGAACCAAGAGCCTTTTTGTTCTCGATGATGGCAAACTTTGACAATTGTTTCAAAGGAAATTAACAAACTACATGAACGATTACAAAACTTCATCGATACTGGCTTTTGGTAAAATATTCCTTGATAATTCTCATAAAAGTTCAAGTAGAGTCAATAATAAAATTTGCATTCCCTATATATCAGAACAGATCATTAATTAGTAATGAGATTTTGTTTCCAAGACAATCTGATTAAGATTGATTTAACAAACTACACATGAATTATGCATATTGATATTCTTTCACGATCTTCACTTTTTTAAAGAATCAAGAAAAAGCCAACAAAAATGAATGAGCTGAAATATGCTCGAGATAATCGATTCTATATCAATCGTAGTTGTCCATTAATAAGTGCACTAAATTCAATTAATGGGAATATCTGCTTTTGGAGGAAAACGATCAAAAGTTTACCAAATACTTAAACGGAAAAAATGAATTGTCTTATATCCGAATCATAATTATGTATGAATAAGAATACTTATAGGCGTGATTGTACTTTCAAATAACATATTTTATTCGAGATAAGCACGGAAAACATGTAATAACCTATTCTTATCGACATGTACTCTTGATTAATAAAGTATTTTCTAATAACCAGAATACGAATCGCTGGTGGCTGATAAACTTTTAGCTGATAAACAAATTATGTTTGGCAAAAACTAGCTTATAAATATGTAAAATGACCAAAAATTGCATCTTGAAAAAGTAATCAATTACAATATTTCGTAATATAGTTAAAACAAATCTCTAAAAGTATAATATGTTAATTAATACCAAAAAGATGATAATAAATAAATAATATAATATATCAATTAAAATAATTTCAAATTAATTATTATAACATATATATATACATATATTCAAAATTTTGGATTTGTTA